ATATATATATATAACATTTCTGTCCCCCTCACTTCTGAAATGATGGCTACGCCCCTGGCTTGTACTGTGTGCAGCTGGTCTTCAGCTTGGAGCATTAGGAGTACAGGTGGACAACAAGAGCTTTGTTCACAGCACGGACTAGAAGACCGGCAATATGGCATAATCCGCAGCACGCACCTCCCTTCAGTCCACTGTTCGCGTCCGTCACCTCACTCCCCTACTTCCAAACAGACTCACTTTTCGCACCGTAGCACGCGCTACTCTCCCCTCATCACATCTCCGTAGCAGCGAGATTTCGCGCACTTCCGTCATGCATGAACCAGGTCATAACCCTCCTTAAATAGTTTGTCCCTAATTACCCGTTTGTTCTGATTTGTCAACAATGTAAGCATTCAGGTGGCGACTGGTTTCCGTTCCGCCACACCTATTACAACAAATCTAAATCTGCTTGAAGCTTTATAACCATCATCATTATTAATAAAGAATTAACACCAACCTGTCTGTTCTTCAGTATCTTCAGTGTGTTTCATTCTGCAGGGTTTGTGGGAGGAGCTTCACTGAATATGAATGTATGTGTGGAAGAAGCAGATTTGAACAAAGCAACAAAAAATCAGTCCGTTTTTTTAAATAATTTACATATTTAAGCATTTATGTTTTAGAAGCAGAAGAGACCCAGGCCTTACCAATACAAAGTGTCTCTTTGTAAATTATTATATTACTATATTAAAAGTAACCACATCAACACAAAGAGCAGATCAGTTTAAAATGTTCATTCAGTAACACTGCACTCACATATGTGCTAATTCACACATTCTATGCATTTCTGTGTTCGGTCTTTCTATTGTTAACATTTCTATCCATATTCTTTCATTCTTCCCCTCAGTATTAACATATGTCTAGAAATATATAAAATAAATAGTATAAATTCTTCCAAATATAAATAATAGTAAGAATTAAAAATTAAAGCATAAACACAGAAATGTTATGACACCCATCTTCATTAACGAATAAGTAACTATACAATAGAGCACATAATATATAAATAAGGTTTTATTTCCTAAATCTTTAGAGCAATAAAGTAATTAAATTATATCCCGGACAGCACACGTACGTCTGGCCGACGTCGGCCCAATAGCGAAATGTTGGCCTCATTCCCTAAAACATCTAATAAGCGTCGGCCGATATAATTCGGTCAGTGCTCTGTTTCTCAGCTCATCAAGCGTCGGCTCTGAGTCGGCTCACGACCGGAGGCCGATGCCGCGCTTTTCTGTTTGCTGGAGCAGTTATTCGTCTCTTATATAGCAACCTACAGAGAGAAGAGACTTATCCCGCGACATCTGGGGCTTTCAGGTAAGATTTCACTTGAGCTAAATTAGAAAAAAAATACAATTTTGTTAATTCTGTGACACTTAAGGGTACTAGTAGGCACTCTGCGTGCTACAGCACAGGTGAAGAGACCAAGAGAATCGGTTCACGTTCATTTCTCTCACAGATCTCGAGAAATTCAGTAACAGTAACATTATCATCACTCCAAACATCGACACAATCATTCACACAAAAACAAAATCACTCAGGTCTCAATGAACTTATGTTTTCCTCACATGTTGTTCTGAGTGTTTAAGTCAGCAAACACACAAACAGTGCTGTACTAGATGATAACAAGGCAGAAACGAGCTCGTATATGTTGCATAAACAAACTGTGTAACGTGTATTTAAGAGTTAAATAAGTGAAATACTGTGATCTGCTCTCCTCTCCTCAGAAGACTCGACGCTGACGGAGTGAGCGCGCGCTAGTGATGACGTCATCGCCGCGAGGCGGGATCAACGGCAGATCATCATAGAGTAACATAATTTAGATATGATTTAACACTATTTGC